TGATGATGATGATGATGATGATGATGATGATGATGATGATGATGATGTTTGCAGAGGGTCACAGCTTCACTGGATCCAAACTAATAGAAATCATAGATCCTTAAAGTAATGAAGTATGAAATTCACTTAGTTTCAGTTTCCACTCTAATGAACTTATCCAGAGAACCATAGAATGTTAGACCTGGAATGAATTTTATCACTCATGCATTCTACAGATGAGGAAACTGAATCCCCAAGAGATTCAATGATACCAGTTTATCAACAAATACTTCTTAAATACCTAATATGGGCCAGGGACAGTACTAGGTGCTGGGGATACAAGTTTACACAGCTATTTAGTAACAAGAAAAAGAACTAAAATTCAGATTTCCTGGTTCCTAGACCATTCCCTTTCTACTAAACCATTCCAAATTATTTTAACACCTTAAATATTAAGGATTGCTTTCTACATTAACAACTAATAAGATTTATGTGAACAGTTTATACATACAATGATTAAGAAATGTTAAAAATTCATCTGGAAAAATAAAAGTGAATTTGAAAGCAAGAGAGACTATAAAAGTCATCAGGTAAAATCTCCAAAATTTACAGAAGAAGCTGAATGGCCAAGAAGTTACATGGCTAGAGACAGATGTAGAACAGACCCATTTCTTCTGTCTTCTAGTTCAATGTGTCTTTATGACATAATACAATATACTAAATGAATGATGAGTCTGGTAAACCAAAGCTCTTCCTTTTGTGACATTTTACAGACAATCCAAAACAAAGTAGCCGTGTACCTTTATTTATCAAAGTTCTGGATGTCAATGACAATGCCCCAGAGTTTGCTGAATTCTATGAAACTTTTGTATGTGAAAAAGCAAAGGCAGAACAGGTGAGTATAGTGAAATAATAAGGTACAGTCAAACCTCATTCATTCAAAATTTGTAATAAATCAGCTTGGTTTGGGTTTGAAATTCTTACTTTATGCTGTCTCTGCTTAGAAAATGAATGCTGTAATTAAAAATCTAGGGGAGAAGTTTAGCCTACTTGAAACTTCACATTCATTATATAGGAAGGATGCTGCTAGATACACATTAGTTGTATCTATTCATTAAAGCAAGCCAGTGGAACCCCTCCTAGGAAAAAAATGTGCTAGTTCATTTGAATCACTACACAGTTCTGAATTAAAAAATAGAATTCCTTTTGCAGGATCCTATAACTCAGACTTTTCAGGTGTAGTACCTAAAGGGTGCTTCCAAAACTTCCACTTAGACTAGTGAGCTAGGTCCTCAGAGTGTAGATGAATATTCTTACCCTCAGGGTTCTAGGAGTAACCCTGAGGGATTGAGGGTGGTTTTCTAGTATTTTCATTTACAAGCACCCCATTGAGTGTCTTCTTCCCTCCATAACATTTAACTAGTTGATATCACCCCCAATATCAATTAAGTAATTAAGATCAATTGGCAGAAGGAAATTTACTGAGAAGATATAAAGTATGTAATAAACATAGACTAAAGTATAACAACTTCCCTTAGGTTGGCGGCATACTCTACACAAGCATTCAGTCCCTGAAGAGAGTAGATTCAAACTTAATGTAGCTGGTATAAAACATCCTTCCTTCAATCTAGTGATGGCAGGTAGTAGATACTTCTTGCTTGGGAGCCCTTTTCTTCCTTCATGGAATTCCCGCCAAGTTCACATCTTGGTGTAGCATAGCCATACCCTTGATGTCACACTCCTGTTCAATTGGACAGGATCTTTGCAGGGATGTTTTAAGGTCACTCCTCTGAGGTGGCTCCTTACTGAACTCCATTGCTGAGGCTGGTAGCAGATTCTACTACAAATTCCCATGCTTTAACCTCTGATGGCTTTCCTAAACTTTCAAAGTTTACAAGACCATAACCTGGTCTGTTCCACACATACACATTCATCTAAAATCAGGAAAGAACAAAAACAAAGGCATCATTCAATCATGAGCACATGATGGCCAAGTTTGAGAGTGGGTCTGATGCTCTTTCCCCACCAAGAGGTTTACATCAAGTAGTGAGTGCCCACTGCAAGGGAAGAAAACAAGAGATCATCAAACATTTTGTATGCCTACTTAGTTCCACATTGGTGACCATTTAAGAGGCTTTTCATCACCATGCAGTAAGCTAAAAGGAAATAGTCAGAGGAAGAGTGTTCTGATGTGAAGGGAAAGGCACCTCCATTTTACATTCTTGGAAGCAGGTTCACCAAGCCTCCATGTGGATTTGAATCACGTAGGACATAGTTTGCATGCTTTAACACAGAGGTATCAAACAGGGGGGCAACCTTCCCAAATGCTACCCAAAGAGGTTAAAATATCATTGGGAAATATTTAACACAATAATTTTTTTTTAAATAAAGCATGGACAATGTTAAGATGTGGTTTTCTAAGTCAATATGGAGGCCTCAGGGATTCTTGCTTATGGTTTAATGGCTTCTCTTTCTATTTGAGTTTGATACCATTGCTCTAAGGAATGAGCCCTCGTTGGCCAGTCCCCTGATAATAATAATCTTTCCCCCATTAAACATTTGCTATCCTCAGCATATGGTTGGGGTGCAGTTTAAACACATTGTCCATTTGGCAAAAATCCACAGTCCAAGATCCTGGTTAACTTTCTTGAGGTTTGACATTACCATTTCTGAATGCCTTTGCCAATGCTTTATACAAAAAAGTCTTGGGGAAAAATCAGGATGTCATAGTTCATAATCAAATCTGCAAATCAACATTCTACCAAATTTTCATATGCATGGAAATACTACTTAGGGTATTTTCTAGTTAGCTGTTATCATTTGATAAATTTCTCACAAGTGCTTGCAAAAGGCTTTTATCAACCCAAAAAGGAAGGAAGGAAGGAAGGAAGGAAGGAAGGAAGGAAGGAAGGAAGGAGTCCCTATCAAGGCTCTCAAAGAACATGGGGTTCTCCTATAGGGATTAGGAACCAGGGGTGAACTGGGAGTCATCCAGTGATCCTTAAGTGAAAAACCAAACTATCTAGTTGAAAAATCTTCTGAGTTCCTTGATGCATAAGGCCATCTGAGAGTCCAGACAAAATTTCTAGGTGTCCCTTTCTATATAGGGCATAATGATTTTTTTCCCAGAGATCCTTGTACCATAGACAACTGAAGTCCCAAGCAAATTTCCTTTGGGTCCATAAACTAACAGCCTCCCAAAATTTCCCTCTTGGGTCCCTGCCACTGAAAGGGCAATCTGAATGGAATTCCAAACTCACCCTCAGTGATGCTATGTTCCAATGGCTTATTGTTTCAGGGGAAATCTAAGTGAGTCCTGAGGTCAAGTTTTAGGGTTCCACTTAGAAAGAGTTACAGAGTCATACATAAACATCAGCTCTGACTCAGTAACCCCCAAAGAGATCTTAATGTCCCATAATAGAATTCTGGGTCCTAGTTTGTGAGATATAAAATCCCTCCTATGGAAGATGATTCTGACCATTCCAGGGAAACACTGGAATGTTACCAATACCATTAAACAATTTGTCTTCTTTCCAGGCTGCTCCTACTGGTCCTTCCTAGATTCCAGCAAGATCTTCTTTCTTTTCCTCTAAACCCTAAGCAGCTGCTACAGTCAACCCCACTACCCCAGGGAGCTATATCATTGATCTCTGAAAGTGGTGGGAGGGGCTTTACCAGTATTCAGACAGCCCTTCCCTCATCAATTCAAATTAGTGAAATTTCATAAAATTCCTCATGAAATATGTTCTTACTGCCAGTGTAAAAAACTATGACAAATTGTGTCAAAATCAGACCTTATCATGCTAAACCATGCAAGGCAGGGTTACATGTAGAGAGGGGAAGGATCTAGTCAGGCTCCTTTCCTTGTACTTGAGATTTGATTGCAAAACAAGCTGCTGAACAGACTTTTCCCTGCCTTGGCAAACGGCCTCAGTTCTAGCAGGTAGTGAAATAATATAGTTTGATAGATCAAAATGATAATGTTTTATGGCTTTTTATTCGCACCCAAGGATTTTCCAATCACCCAGTCCTTTGAATGCAACAGATTCCCCATCAGTCTTTTAAATCCCATCATTAATCTCAGCAGTTCAGTGCAAATGGAGATGTCATGCCATCCCAGTCAGAAAAGCAATACAGCAACTTTATTTCAATTGTAGCTGATCCAGACCCTGACTGCTGTTGACAAGGATGACCCTTACAATGGGCACCAGTTTTCCTTCTCCTTGGCTCCTGAAGCTGCTGGCAGTTCGAACTTCACTATTCATGACAACAAAGGTAAATTAATACAAATGACATTTCAAAGGTTGTCCCCTTATCCTTACTCAGTTTAATAATATTTTATGCTGCTTTCTGGTTTCAGACAACACAGCAGGAATCTTGACTCGGAAAAATGGCTATAATAGACATGAAATGAGTACCTACCTCCTGCCTGTGGTGATCTCTGACAATGACTACCCAATTCAGAGCAGCACAGGGACCGTGACCATCCGTGTCTGTGCATGCGATCATCACGGCAACATGCAGTCCTGTAATGCAGAGGCACTCATTCATCCAACTGGACTAAGTACTGGTGCTCTGGTTGCCATCCTCTTGTGCATCATTATACTTCTAGGTAAACTGTTTCTCTGTGGGCCCTCTGTCCTAGTGCAAAGGGGAACATATGGTTATTATGAAACATTAGCTTTTGCCCACCTGCCTCATTAAAACATATATATCCTAAGATGGGTGAATGGAGTCATGGGTAATGGAACCTCAATGGTGAACTAGTTTTGTTTGACTGACTTTGGGAGCTAAAGATAAGAAATGTGTGATAGTAATATATTTCTTCCAAAAACAAATTTTTATGTAAGTAGGTATGAACTGATGATTTGGAACCTTCTGGTTTCATTTCTGGATTTAACAAGATACTTTGGTGTAGTGTAAAGAGAAATGGACTTGAGGACAGAGCAGTCTGGGTTCAAGTTACAGCTCTGCTATCTACTGTGTAATTTTGACCGACCACTTAACCTTTATGGGCCTGAGTTTTCTCATCTGTAAAATGGTGATCATAATACCTGTAGCTATCTACCTGAAAAGGTTTTTGTGAAGATCAGAATATTTCATAACCATTAAACAGTTATATATAAATATAAGCAACTATTATTTATATTTAACTTGGTTAAGCAAAAAAAATGTTACTTTTATGAATATATGTGTATACATATATTATGCATTATATATATTATATTATATTTATCTGAATAAAATAATATATTATTGGAAAGAAAGAGATAAAATATTTAATTTGACTCCCACGAAAGCCCTCCCCATTGAGGCATGGAAGTGACTCTGGGTTCTCAAAGACTTGGAACAGAATATAGAACATAGGACATATGTAAGTGCCTCTGTTTAGCTTTTAAAGCCCTTCACAACCTGGCCCCAACTTATTTTTCTATTCTTATTGGATGCTACTGTCCTTCTTACACCTTAAGATCCAGCTAACTGGGCCTTTTCTTTCTCCCTTACTCATAACACACCATCTCTCACCTCTCTTTATCCTGGCTGTCCCACATTCCTAGAATTTACTACCTCCTTTTTTCTGCCCCAGAGTTCCTCACTTCCTCAAATACCAGCTTATACTGAAAAAAGCCTTTTGTGATCTCCCAACTTATAGTGGCCTCCTTCCCATACTACTTTGTAAATAACAACTTTATAAACTGTTCCTTCTCTGTATAAGTAGATGAAGTTTTGTGGCAGTTTCCACACCAGGAATTCTTTAAATTGATGAAATTAGTGTATGATAATAAATAGAACAAAAAAAAAAGTAAATAAAACTATTTTTAAAGATTAAGGAATTTTTTTTTCCTTCTACCTTCCTCTCCTTGTCTTTCATCCTGCCCTTACTTTTCATATTTAATGTGTCACCTAAGAACCTGGACAATACTATCTCTAGAAGGTTTCAAAATTATGTGTTCCCTGCATAGTTTGTATTAGTTTTTGATTGTGAATCTTTGACTTAAGTCAGCCAGGCTTATTTTAAAGTGACTCCTGATCTCTGAAATCAAGAGAACTTCCACAATGGTTGCCCACAAACGCCATCTTGTGAAATGTCCCTGGTCACAAGTCACTGCTTTTAGTGAACCAATACAGATCAACTCCTTAGAACCATCCCATAGGCCAACATGTATTAAATGACCGTATGGCATGATACACTAGGAGATAACTACTGCAGAGAAAAACATACATCTGGGAATCATGAGAAATGAGTTGAATATCTGTCATAATCAAGAGCAAATGCTGATCCAGCTACCATTTTTATGCACAATGGACCTGTCATAATTCTCCCTGTAAAAATTGAATTAGATATTTTGAGTAGCTCTGTAACAGTTTTTTGAGAACCAAGAAAATCTTGCCACTCTTCAGAATATGGAGACTGGACTGGAAAAGTTCATGTTCCCAGTTAAATAACCCAACTCCCTTAAAAAAGAAAGAAAGCATATGACAGACTCAAAGAATTTGAAGAATAAAATGAGTGCCTGCATTTTTCTCTAAAAAGATGCCAAAATAATAAAAGAATGAAATATTCAGGAAGTCAGGATCAGTGCTACTTATTATTATAAAAACCTTGAAACTCAACATCAGAACCGTGAGAGTTTTTGACAACTAAAGTATGAAGGAGGTATTTAAAGCTATGAGAATAAATAAGATACAAAGGGAAAAATGCAAAAAAATCAATGATTTTAGTGATGTAAAGCAATAAAAATAATTGCATAATGGAAAGATTTTTTTAAAATATCTTTTCAAAATTGGTAAAATCTAAGATTAGATAGTAGAACCTTACAGCAATAGAAGGTTGTTTTTCTAAATGCTTTTTCAGGTAATCTTAAATCCAGTGCTTTTTTGTGGAAATTTGTGGAAGAAAACCTAATGGCTATCAGAAATCAGCTAACTTTTCCATAATCAAGAAGAAATGCATATACTTGATGTCTGATATTGTCAGTAGAAAGATTTCATGATATGTGCCATGAGTTGGGGGAAATTTTAGTAGCAAACATGATTTTTTATTCAAGTTATTTTTTTCCATAGCAATGTACCTTGGAAATTTTTACAAAAATCAATGGAAAAAATGAGCCATTTTACAAGAAATAAAAAATAGAAGCCCATCTATTATTTCACAAAGGAAAATACACTTCTATAGTGAAAATTTCTGCACAATGGAGATTTCCAAATCCCAACTAATGGCCCAGTTACCTCAAATAAATTAAATAAATAGCATTTTGGTAAAGGGAAGAATCCTAATCTTGGAGTTTGAAAGCCAGGCTTTATGTCTTATGAGATATGTGATCTTAGGATCTAAATCATAGGATTTAGAACTACAACAAGCAGCCTTAAACATCTATTTCAATACCCATATTTTATGACGAGGAAGCTACAAAAGACCTCTCTAAGCCTCAGCCTTCTCATCCATAACATTGAGATAGCACTTCCATTATGAATTACTGACAGGGCTATTGTGTGTAAAACACTAATAATAATAATAGCTATTGTTTTTACTAACAGCAAAATTCTACTACAAAAAAGAAGTGAAAATTTGTCATAATCTAATTTACATGTAATACAGCCTTCAGTAACTTTGAAATGCAATATACTAACCTTAAACATTGCACTGTCCAAAACCAAACATCATTTGGATTAAGCATCTAAATTCCAAATACCTTAAATTGTTTTATGTTGTGTAACTTTCTAAAGAAGACAAGTAATAGTATACCCATTTCTCTCTAATTCTCATAAGAGAGTAAGCAAGAACTGTTCTTTCAATACAGCACTGTGAGATTCCAAAGCATTAAATATCTGAAGAGAGCCAAGAATTTTAGTCCTTCATAGAGAAGCATACTTAAACCATTACAGACAATAATAACTCCTATTTTTACAGCCATTTGTAGTATATACTATCTTTAAAACAATTATGTTAGGTAGCCTAGTTCAATTATTCCCATTTTATTAAATGAGGAAAGCCAGAGAGTTAAAATGGCTTACCTGTGGTCACATAACTGTGGCAAAAATGAAATCATAGATTTCTATGCTATTTTTCCTATTTAAAAAAAGTTACTCTCAATTGATGTGTTCTGCCTAAAAACCATGTCCAAGAACTCTTTCTTTAAACTGTTAAATGCGCGTTATGTCCATTTCTCATTGTTAGAAAAACTTTCTCTATTCTGGTGCATTTCAAAACCCTTTACAATTTGTCTTCTGACTATATCATTTAACTGAAACTTTTGGAAATTATAAATGACCTTTTAATTAGTCAATAAATATTGATTAAACATCTACTGTGTGCCAGCACTGTTGGGAATATAATATAATACAATACAATACAAAATAATACAAAACCAAAAATAAGACAATTTCTGTCCTCAAGGAGCTTACCATCTAATGGACTAAGACAACACACAAAAAAAAGGAAACAGAAAAAGAGGGGAAGGTGGGAGGAGTGGTACCTGACCCTGGGTATAGTGGAAAAATCAGAGAATTCCCAAAGTAATATAGTCAAATGGAAAATGAAACAGCTGTGCTGAACCCTTCCTCATAATCAGGTTGTACAGTTCCTCCCATCAGAGAAGCAGAGGGTAGTGATGAGTTGAGAGTACTAAGGTTGATTGGATCTTTTAGGTTTTCCAAGTGATGAGCTTCCCGAGGCATGATGAAGAAGTCAAAGTAGTGCCCCCAGGTGCCAAATCTAATAGCTTTTTCTCAAACCTTGTCCTTCTTTTCCCTTCTGTAGCATTTGACATTGTTCAACACTCTCTCCTCCTGGATGTTCTCTCCTCCTTGTTTTTTTTTTTTTGGTGACATTGTTCTTTTTTTAATTCTTTTATTACATGTCTGACCTCTTTCTCCCTTTCTAGATTATAATATATAGCATATCACCTAACTCTAGGTATAAAGCAAAGCTCAGTCTCAGGCCCTCATCTCTTTTTTTCTATCTACTTTCTCTTAGTTACCTAATCAGCTGTCATGGGTTTAATTATCATTTCTATAAAGATGATTCCCAGCTATATATCTCTAACTTTGATCTGTCTGCTGAGCTTTAGTCTTGCACCATTTGATTGGTATATCAATAAATCTGTTAAATAATTTAAATAGTATTCTGATTTTTTTATTTTGTTGGCACAGCCTATCCATGAGCACTGAATATCTCTCTAATTATTTAAATTATTTTATTTTATCTCTTTAAAGAACATTTTGTAATTATATTTATACAAGTTTTAAATGTATCTTGGTCAATGGACTCCCAGATAATTTATGAATTTTATCAACATTTTGAATGGTATTTCCATTTCTATTATAGTCTAATTGGTTTAATTATTGATTTAATTATTGATAGTTTCATATTGGTGCTCATTTTGTATAATACTACTTTACTGAATCTATTAATTGTCTATTTCCTAACAGATTTTGAAATAGGTGTCCTATAGACTTCTCCAACTCACCAAGTCCAAAATAGAAATCATTTTCTCCCCCCCAAAATCCTCTTCTAGATTTACCTATTTCCATTAAGGATAGTATTATCTTTCCAGTCACATAGGTTCACAGCCTCTCTATCATTTTTCACTCTTTTCTCTTCCTCACCTC